TTTTTTTTTTTTTTCCAAAACATGATAATCTCTGGTGTATGTACAGACATACATGTTTGAGCAATGTAAAGTAAAAAAAAAAAAAAAAAAAAAGGTAAAAAATTATAGGATTCTTCTGTTTTGATGATGTTATACAGTATTTTATATTTTATCAATTAAACTGTGCTAAATTTGAACTTTTTGTTCATTTAAATTGTATATATTTTCAAACCCCAACTGATCACTATTAATTTAATAAATTATTTTTAAAATACATTTTTAAATTATTAAAAATTACTCTCATTATAAAGTCTGACCATTGAGAGTGTATCACAATTTAAAGAAAAAATAATCAGATTTATACCAATTTGTTAAAAACTGTTTTTAAAAACTACGCGTTTAGCATCATTTGATATCGAATGATTTCTTGCCTCATATTAATATTAATATAATTTAGAATTTAGTTTATTAAGTTAGGTTTTAGAGTCTACTGTAGACACTGAAACATATTCCACATCCCCAAAAACAAACGTTTCTGATTTGTTGTAAGCAATTCCCTCGTAGCGACAGCCAGTGAGGACGTCTTAGCGATCATTGAGAAAGAAAAACAGCGATTGGGCGTGTCTTGTGTGGTCACTACGTGGCTAGCGTGATTTATAAACAGATTTAATTCTGTAATTAGTTTACCATTTGTCAGGAGCCTGATGATGCACTAGCTCCAGCGCTAACTCGAAACCACTGCTACAGGGCTTTATTTTATTTCCTGTTGGTGCTAATTAATGTCATAGAGTCCATGGTGTGTGTGAGGAAATGAAACCTGTGTGAAAGTGTGTGTGTGTGTGTGTGTGTGTGTTCACATGTTCAGTATGTTCCTCACGGACTCCTCAGGGTCTTCAGAGATCAGAGCGATATCACGCTCCCGTGCTGTACGACACACACTAAAGTCATTTAAATCACACTGACACCTGGTGTAGCAGCACAAACCATGTGTTGCGCGCGCACACACACACACACACACACACGTGTGTATCCTGCTTCTATACACCTTATTCCACTCAGTTTGCTAATTAGCAGATGAGAGAAATGTGTCGCTAACAAGCGACAGTAAATTCTTCAGTGGAACTTAAATGAAAAAAGAAAAGAAAAGAAAAGAAAAGGAAGCTGGTTGTTTATGAAGCTTTTCACTCATCCAGGGTAATATTTAATGTAACGTAGTAGTACGATAAGGTGAAACATGGTCAGTTTTTCTTCTATAAATATAATCTTTCAGCAGTAACAGCACACGATTCGACAACTGTAATGTTTTTATTATTATTCCCTTCAGGATCATTTTGAAGTTTGCGTGAGCCAACTGATGTGAAAATTCAATACTCAGTGCTAATATTAGTGCAAGTAGATCTATTTTTATGGAAACTTGCTAAAAAAAAAACAGGATTAACGAATGTAAATGAGGCTTTGTCTAATTAAATATGCATAATAAATACATTTACAAGCTTAATAAAACAAAAAAAATCTAGTATTCAGATGGTTTTGGTATTAAAATGTTTATTTTGGTGTGAGGACGCTCTCAACAGAAAAAAATGAAAAATCATTTATGAAAAATCATTGCTGTATTGTTTAACCAAGAAAATAGCTTGCGCTTGAGACGGTACATCAGCAAAAAAATGGTCGGAACAAACCATATCGATTATTGATTTTATTATATTTCTATTTTATACATTATTATATTTATTGTATTTACAACATAAGTGATTTTTGTGTGAAAGAGTTGAACTGTGAAATTCTTCAGTTACAAAAAAAAACATTTTAAAGCTGAGTAGTTTTTAAAGGAAACAATATGAGATGTGTCTCGATATCAGCTGATACTTGAGCTTTCAGTATCAGAAAAGAAAAAGACATCGTGTAATTTTTATTAGTTATAAAAATTATTTTTGTCATTTTTTGTGTATGAAATTTGTCATAAATTCTACAAACTGATTAAAGATTTTGGAGAATTCCTCTGATTGTGAAGTGGGCGGAGCTTAACACACTCTTCAAAGTTGCTGTTTCAGATAATGTGGTAGTCGCGAGTGGACAAAAACAAACAAACAAACAAAAAAACAGTGAAATAAACATGTTTCTGTTGCATTTTGATCATTTTATTACAGTTTCAGTGAAGATGGTATCATAGAGACAGTGTATCAGTTTATTAAAAAAAATTGTTTTGTTGTGAACAAACTGCTCATTTCCACCCAGAGAGATCTGACCTCATTAACCAGAGAACATGGAGGTGTTATTGCATCATAAAACATAAGAGCCAATCAGGTTTCAGTATGCAAATGCAACCTGATCTCCTTTATATCTTTAACAGCTGCAGAGGTGTGAAGTGCTATTAGTCTTGATTTGGACTTAAAAATAAACGACAGGAATTTGATCGAGGAAGAGCGATTTTGTTGGATTCCATACACAATTATTTATATCTGTATTTGTATACGTTTAAAAAACACGATCTGTTCAGTCGTATACGGTTTCATCCCCGGATCGGATATGAAATTGAAATGTTGACCCTAATTCCTATATTCTAGACATTCCTCTTCTTCTTCCCCCGCCTCGCCCCGACGCCTCGCGCCTCGCCGCTCGGTTAGTTAGCACACGGCTGAAACGCGTGCCTTTCTAATTTGCCGTCATTGCAGAAGATAATTATTGCTGCGCATCATTCCTGATCTCCTCATCATATGGATCAGTGGCTGTGTGTGGGTCAGGTGGGCTGGAAAAACATCATTAGCATATCATTATTACCATATCATTAGCATATCGTTTTTACGCACAGGTCCTGACTTGTTTATTCCAGTTCCTCCGAGAGCGCAGACGAGCAGTCACGCTGTAGAGACTCTCAGATCTGCTCTCAGGATGTTATTTACAGCTACTTCCCTGCGTGTGGACCTTTCTGATCCCGGAGCAGCCGCTAAAATCATCACACGCTAAATCCTTTTAACCGAATGAGCGCAAACTCTCAGCCAGTAATACGGCTTAGAAATAAACATTAATGCTTAAAATGCACTGTATTCAATTTATTATATTAAAGTTCAGTTTTTATCAAACCTGTGAAAGTAAATATGGTGGAGACAGAATCATCTTTATCTCAGCTACTCATCTTTCTAACTTTTTTTTTCATCTTTAAACTGGAAACTCTGTATTTCTTCTGTTGTTGTTATTTCCTGAAAAGAAGGACATGATGTTTTTCTATATAATGAACTTTAATATGAAAAGTTTAATCACTATCTGAGCTGAAATTTCTTTTTTCTCCAACATAACCGAGACACTTTCAGAGCTAACAACATCGCTAACAAGAAATTCCTAGCAGGTAGAGACAGAGAGGGAGAGAGAGAGAGAGAGAAAGAGAGAGAAACAGAATCTTACAATTTACAAAAAAAATGACTAATTTTTTGTTTTTCCGGATGTGCAGTGAGAGAAAAAGTCCATTGTGATGCTACTTAATTGCGTAACAAGCTGCTCCTCCATTATTATTATTATTATTATTATTATTATTATTATTATTATTACTGCACATAGAGACCACAGCCCCGCCTTCTTCTTTTCTATTGGCTGAAAAACCACGATTCAGGTGTTCACTTAAAGTCGGCATGAAGGGAAAGTAGCCACTATAAGAAACACATGTCTTTCACGTCCCGTGTCCTTTCCCCTTCAGTGAATTATCTTTTCTGCCAAGCGAAATTTAGTCATGTTTTTATGAACACTTTATCTGAAAAAGTAGCAGCAGATGAAAATTTGTGAAATGCCGTAGATGTTCACAACCACGTATATTTCTCTTGCTTAATGTAACATGCTGAAGTCAGCTTATAACAAGCTAACATCGAGTTAGAAAGAAATAGCTAGCAAAAACTGGAATTAAAATTTTACCTGAAATACTTCAAAAATTCCAGCCACAATTTCACCTTCAAATTTGGGAAAAATACAGAATTATACATAATAATGTAATAACAGTCATATAATTAAACCCTTTTAATTTTAACTCTTGAGCTATTTTACAGCCTTGTTTATTTAACAATGTTTTTATGAAATTTTGGACAACTATTTACTGATGTCTACATAAAACCT